ATAGCCAGACAGATAGATAGAGAAAAAGCTAAAGAGATAGACAGATACATATATACAGATAGAGAGATAAATGAATAAAAAGATGGATAGATACATAGATACATAGATAGATAAATACATGAATAAATAAATAGATGAATAGATAAAATAGAAAAATGAATAGATAAATAGATAGATAGATAAATAGATAGTTAGATAAATAGATAGATAGATAAATGAAAAGATAAATAGATAAATAGATTATTAACTAAATAGATAAATAGATAGATAGATAAATAGATGGATAGATAGATAGATGGATAGATACATAGATACATAGATAGATAAATAAATAAATAAATAGATAAATAGATAGACATCCCCCATAATGAAAAGTTCCAACGCCGCTCATTTGATTAATCTGATCCGCCTCCAGGTACCTCACCCCCCCCCCCACAGCGCCGCTTCCTAGGGGGTAAGGGGCAGGGGGCACGTGGATGGGGGTGAGGGGAAGGGAAAGGAGGAGAGAGGGGAAGTAAAAGGGGGGAAAAAGGAAAGAGGGATGGGGTAGGTGGGTATAGGAAAGAAAGGAGGAGGAGGAGGAGGGATTGGGAGAGGGAAAATAATGGAGGAATGATAAGAGAGGGAAGAGAAAGGAGGAGATGAAGTGAAGGAAGAGAGATAGAAAAGCGTAGGTAAGGGAAGGAGACGGCAGATAAATGTCAAAGAACGGAATCAGAAATAAGAACAGGGTAATAGAAGGAAACTAAATATAAAGAGAATAAGAAAGAGAGAAAAATTAATAGAGAAAAAATAGAGAAAGCCAGAGAGAAGTAAGTGAAGAGTAGAAGGGACTTTCGAGTCTTTGCCCAAACACAGACCCCGTCGCGCAGAACACCCCCCCCCCCCATACATAGTCAAGCGGTCTTTTGCGGGTGTCCCATTGCCCCTCCCCACCCCTTCCGCCCTCCCCTCCCCCCCCTTCCGCCCTCCCCTCCCCCCTCCATACAACGAGGTCTTGTTGGGCCAAAAAGGAGCGTTTATCATTTATATGGGTCGTCAACGAAGGGCGGAGGGGAGGGGGGGGAAGGGGGTAGAAGTCATTGGGGTCTGGAAGCTGGGGCAGAGTAGGGGGGGGGGTGAGAGTAGGGCCTTTGGGTGCATTTTCACTGTAAAGCTTTTTTAATATAAGTTTCATGTAACTGTTTTTTTTTCCGTCTTATTATATATATATTACTTTCTTTATGTTCTCTCTGGCAGCTTACTGTGTGTGTGTGTATACACACACACACACACACACACACACACACACACACACACACACACACACACACACACACACACACACACACACACACACACACACACACACAACACACACACCACACACACACAACATATATATATATATATATATATATATATATATATATATATAATATATATATATATATATATGTGTGTGTGTGTGTGTGTGTGTGTGTGTGTGTGTGTGTGTGTGAATAAGAAATAGATATATTCCTTCTTTCTAACTCTCCCCTCTCCTCCCTCCTTCCATACAACGAGGCATAAATACTCCTCCTTCCCTAGACCCTCCCAAGACCCCCACCCAAGACCCCCCCTTTCCCCTCCTAAGACCCACCCCTCCCTAGACCCCCCCTAGACACCCACCCCTCCCAAGACCCTCCTCCCTAGACCCCCCTCCCTAGACACCCCCACACCCCTCAAGACCCCCTCTCTAGACCCCCCTCCCAAGACCTCCCCCTCCCTAGTAACCCCACCCCTCCCTAGACCCCCCTCCCAAGACCCCCTCCCCAGACCCCCTCCCAAGACCCCCTCCCTAGACCCCCCCCTCCCTTGGCACCGAACCGGCGAGCGCGAAGGTCGGCGCAGACAGACAGCCGACACGACGCGCACCGCTGGGCAACGAAAGTAAAACGGAGCGACTACATTTACCTGTCTCGCTTATCTGGCCAGGTAGATCTCTCATAAGACCGTAAGAATGAGTACAGACTTTTGTGACGTCATTCGATGTTGGGGATGAAGGGGGAGGGCACAACATCTCTGTCTCTCTTTTTTTTTTTTTTTTTTTTTTTTTTTTTGGGGGGGGTCTTGCTTTTTCGCTTTTTCGCTTTATCTCTCTCTTTCTCTTTCTTTCTTTTTTCTCTTTCTTTCTCTTCTCTCTTCTCTCTCTCTTCTCTCTCTCTCTCTCTCTCTCTCTCTCTCTCTCTCTCTCTCTCTCTCTCTCTCTCTCTCTCTCTCTCTCTCTATATAATATATATATATATATATATATATATATATATATATATTATATATATATATATATATATATATATATATATGTGTGTTCTTCTATCTCTCTATCTATCTCTATCTCTCTCTCTCTCTCTTTTCTCTCTCTCTCTCTNATGTATAGTAATATATAGGCTACAGTATTGTATATATATTATATAATATATATAGTAATATATCACCGTTTAGTTATAATATATATATATATATATATATATATATATAT